TCAATACCTAAATGACTTTATTTTTTTAAATTTAGGAATGGAAATGGATCTGACTGTTAAAACTATAGTTTTTTAAAGCTAAAAAATTCATCACAGTTATTCTTAGTCCAGTTTTATCATGCTTACTTTTTTTTTTATTTATATGTACTTTTTATAAATCTATTTATTTTTATTTAGTTTTTTCTTGATATATATACATATTTTTAAATTGTCGTTATCTCATTTGTACATTCCATCTTTTTATCTTGGCTTATTTACATGCTTATTATTACATTTCAACTTATTATATTATATATCTATATCTTATTATTCTGTTGTATTTTTTTTTATTTTTAGACCTAATGATGACCCGCATGCTTGGGTTGAAACATCTAATAAACCATATGAAGATCGAAATCCTGATTATTTGTCATTCTCATAATTTTTTTAAATAAAAATTATAGGCAACTGGTGACTAATAAATATTCATTTATTTGCTTAAGGAAGAGAGAGTGTTTAATGGTATTTTAGGTATAATTGTATTAAATTATTTTTCTTCTGTATGTTATTTATTTAGCTGTCCAACGTTTTGGGCTCTGCCCAGAGTTCTTCAGATCGGAGGTTTCTTGCAAAAAAAAATTTCAACAAAGTATACACAGGAGAAATCTCAAAAAAATTAAAGACCAGAATCAACCAACACAAAAAAAAAATTGTAAAAAACATAACATAGTATATTAAAAAACCAAAGTTTTGATTTCAATAGAAGAAAAATTATTAACATAGTACAACACACAAAAAATAGAAAAACAGAAGAGTCGATCAACCTCACCAAAAATATAGAAAAAAAAACAATAAAATATAACACTGATACAAAAAATTTAAAAAACACTTTGCTTATATCATAAATAAATTAAAAAAGATATAAAAACAATAGTCAGGAGCAGATCCAAACAAACACATATGTTGATAGAATAAAAGGATTAGAACAAAATTCTCTTAAAAATCCAGTAATTAAATGAAATATGGAAAGACAAACGTTTCCAAACATGCATTGGATGAATATGAGATAAAAGAATAACACATTGAGAAGGTAAAATAAAAAATGAACTGTATATACACTTTAAACAAATATTTGTAAATATAAGAAAAAATTGTAACAAATGTTAATAACGTTAATGATGTTCTAACAGTGTAAGAAATGTATCTGAGTATAGGCAAAGAATCCAAAATGTTGAACAGATAAATAAATAATATATACGAAAAGAAAAAATGTCATACAATTATACCTAAAACCTAAAAAATATATGCATATTTTATTCATTGCCTTGTATATACATCTATTCACGGGCGGATCTACAGGGGGGGGGACTTTCGGGCTGAAGCCCTCCCCCCCAAAATGGTAATATATAGCAATGTTTTATCGAAAAAAATATTAAAAAAGTATTTCTTAAAGTATTATTGTTTGTGTAATTACATTTAAAAGGGCTTTAGGAATCACTTAAACACCATTTCAACAGGTAGTTAGTTTCTTTCTTTTTTTCCAAAGTAATTATCATTCATTTTATGAAAAAAATAGCTTTCGAGCTGAAGTCCCCCCCAAAATTAGATCTTGGATCCGCTAGTGCATCTATTTATTATATATAATATTACACAACTATTAAAGTAACAATGTACTTAATAAATGATTCGCTTGAATCGCTGGGAAATATCCCCTCAGTTTAATAGTTAAACAATAATTCACTGCTATTGCTTAGGAGATCCAATTTTGTGTGAAGTTTAAAGGTATAATGGGTCTAGGATAAGTTTGTCTGTAGGGGAAGGGAGCTCGCGCAGCCTTTTCATTCTCAAGCTCCGCATCCTCTCCTCACCCTAGCAATTACCTCATGCCGGGAATGCGTTTGTCGTTGTTTGATTCTCTTTAAATTCTAATTTTGTAAAAAAAATGTGAAAGAAATTTGAACTCGTAAAAAAAAAAAATTGTAGAAGTACATACGATTGAGTGAAGACAAAAGAGTAGGGGATCGGCACAAATAGGTTTTGCCACTTCTCCTATACCACCGGCAAACTTATCTTAGATGGATTCTATCAGTTCTCAGTCATAGCATTGTAAAATTCTTTACAGATAACTAATGAAGTCTTTAAATAGGAAATAAAATCAAGAATTGTAAAAAAAAAAAAAGTAAACATATTTTATATTTGTACATTTATAATTATAATTCACATATATTTACAAATTCAACATAAAAATAAAAATTATATACAAATCAATAAGGTAGATATTCTGATGAGAAGAATGAAATTCGTTCCAAATTTCAGAAGATTATTCTCTATTTATTGTTTCACAAACGAGGTTTCAATAAACTTGTTCATCAAGGAGCCATTAGATTCAAAGCATCTGTGAAAAAATATTAATTTACAATAAATATCTTTTAAAGCATTCATGAGATAATTTATTCAAAATAAGGCAGTATATAGAACTAAAATACTGAGCTTTGTATTTATTATTTCATAAGGAAGTTCTGTTTCTTAATCAACCGTTATGTAAGGAGGTGATTAGACTGAGATCACGCTCAAACGCCAGGTTTTTCCTCTTAAATAATTACTTACCACAGTCGGACTTGAACCGAGGATCTTGAGCATAGGAGTACAGCCTCATACACACTGAGCTATCCCATTCCCAAATAGAATAAAGTATGCATGAATAAATATAAATAAAATATATACTTCAAGTAAAGTGGTATTTAAAAAGTAGAGGCTTATGGCAAACCCACAAACATTTTAATTTATTTAAAGATATTCATCTTCAAGATTAATTATATAATAATATGCTCACTCATACATACATTGCTTTTACTTGATGAAAACGATAATGAAAGATGGTATCAGAACATTTTTCATGAAGTAATAGTAATATAATATAAACATTAAATAAAATATATGTACGTACGATTGATTGGATTGGAAACAGACCAACATACACAAAAGCAAACAGAGCATTCTTCTCTCTTTCAAAGGTACTGAAAAATCTCAAGAAATCTTAAATAGACTGTATAATATTATGGTAAAACCAGTTTCTGAAATAGGCCTGTAATACTAGTACTCTAAAAAGCAGAATTGAAAAGTTGAAAGAAATATCCTCCACGCGATAACTAGAGCGATCAGGGATCAGGGTACTAAGGCATGGGGGAGAAGGGCAAATAAAGAACAGCATACAGAAACATGTGAATCAACGTCTTATAATATGAAGGCACAGAGGTTATAATACAGGACACTGCGACAAGTATGAAAATAAAGTATATATATATTTTCAAATTCCTGGTATAAATATACAATGTGATAGAGTTCAGCTACCTGTCCACATTGTTCGGGTAGTCATAGAAACTGTCCCAACTACTCTACTTAGTAGCGTCAATTTAGTTTAACAGACATGTTAAAAAAAACAACAATTAAAATCAACCCAATCACTCAGAACTAGACAAAAAGTGCCCCTCATACATAAAAAAACTTACTTTAACTACTGAAAATTAACTAAAATACAAAATTACTACTAATCTCAATACAAGATTATGGACTTGAAAATTCTACAGGTAAACGCACACAGTTCTTTACTAAAGACTACTTAAATTACTTTATTCAAGAAAAAAACATTGATATAACTCTTATACAAGAAACGCACACTAGGAACAACTGTGTTACATGTTATACTCATAAATTACAGATTTATCAAACATATTTTGAAAACAAGAGCAACCATAATATTTAACAACAAATACATTAACACAATTTTACTGACAGAGTATAGTAACCCGTATTTTTGTACAGATGAAATTATGACACTCACTGGCCTTCAAAAAGTAGAAGATAGAAGAGAGATCAAACTCCTTAACGTAAGATGGGCAGAGCAATCCATCAGAAAGCTCTTACACAACAATGAATGCCTTAATAGTATGCAAGAGACCACTTGGAAGACCAAAAAACAGATGGATAGATTGAATTAATAAAGATACACTACAGAACATACACATAACTGGAAAGCAATATCCTAAGATAGGCAGAGATGGAGAAGGCTGGTTCAGATGACAAAAGATCTAGTAAGTATGTAAAGCCAACAAAAAAAATTAATATGTCTATGGGTTTATACTTTTAAAACATAATTCTACTTGTATGTACTTATGTAAAATAATAATAAATAAATAATCTGAGGAATATTTTTAAATCTGTTCCATAAAAAAAATGAATTAACGTTAAAAATATATTAAACACAATGACTACTGTCCACCTAGAGATAACTTTTAGTAATTATTCTTGTAACTACAAATTATCTCATAGTTGGTTTAAACATGTTTCGTAACTGAGAAGAAATTTTTAATGATTTCTGATGATTAATATATGTTAAAATTAGAGATTTTTTTAATAATAAATGATTAGATTAAACTGCCATTTTGGACCTGTATAATAGAGAACACTATGACAGAAAATTTGTTAAGTATTATTTCGTAAAGAGAATTAAATCACTACTTATTATTCTTAAGGAAATTGATTAATACACAATATTTATTTATGGGACCAAGGTAGCTCAGTGACTTTCAAAGCTTAAGGTTCTGGGTTCGAACCTGGCAGGTAATTAGGCACACCCACCCTGTATAAAGTAGGTACTCTTAATTAATTAACCTGTATATAGTGGATAATCTTAATTAATTTAGGGAGAAAAACTGGCAGTTGAACGGGATCTTGGTCAAATCACCACCTTGCACAACAGTTGACCAAGAAATAGAACTGAACTCAAGACCTTTCATTGATTGCAATGGCATAGGTTTTTTTTTTTTTTTTTTACTGATTAAAATATCTCAGGTGAATCACATTTTCAAACACATGTAAGAACTTTAATATCTAATAACCATGCTAAGAAAAGTTTTCCATGAGATTTACTTCCGTAATAAAAGTACAGATTTACTTCAATACCAGAAAAAAAAAGTGGATGGACAAGCATACTTAAATCTAAAGCTGATAATTCCGTACTTACCAAAGTTTTACTTATGTGGTTTGAATTTTAATGGCTTTTCTTTTGGCTTCTTAATTAAAGTGCCAGCTTCTGAGTTTTCCTGAAGCTTCGTGAAAAACTTTGTAGATGTGCTTATAGCTTTGTCCTTATTGGTCGGTTCAACCTAAACACAAATCAAAATTAAAACATACATTGATTTAAAACACTGATCGCTATACTATAAAGATTCTTAATGGTAATTAAAAAGAAAAATATTAGTTTATATTAAATATTTTTGAAAAAAAAAAATATATGTATGCATAGGTAGGTATACTTACTAAACTGACTTTTTTGGACTTCAATACTTTAGAAGCAAGACTACCAACATTCTTTGATTTCTTGAACTTATTGGACAAAAAGGCTTTTTTCTTTCTCCTTTCTCTTCGTTTGTCAGTTTTGGTCCGTTCATCTTTTCCCATCAGTTCTCTTTTCTTACCTATTTATATATAAATCATTCATGAAAATGAAAGAAGAAAAAGTAACATTTTAAATAAAAAAATAAATTAAATTAAAACTTAATTACAAAACAACTTATCCGTATTTTACTTTCACACCTAGATATAAATTAAGGGAAATTATTGTGGTAGTGAAAAATTTTAAATCCAAATTTTCAACAGAATTAAAAAAATATTTTATGATACCTTTGGAGAAAAGTCGCTGAAAATATTTCAAGTAATGTTTATGCATTAATAAATCAGTCATTCATTTCCAAAGTGAACTCTAATCATCACTGATAAATTTTCAGGAAAAACGGAAAACAATATTTTCTATTCTAATTGTAAAATGAAAATCAATACTTTAAAAAACAATAAATTAATAAATCCTTTATTTGTACCACTTATTTCTAAAAATCGTCGATAATAGTAATTAAAAATATACTTTAACTTAAATAGGGCTTTTGGAACAAATTTTACTTCGAAACTTGTATCTAAACAAAAAAAAAGCTTTGTTGTAGTTCAATTAGGAGAGAAAAAATTTAACATCTACATTTCAACAATTAGCTTTTAAATAACACTAGTATTTCCCGAATGGTCAAAATTGAACCAATGTCATTATTGAAAATTTGAAGAAAACATATCAATTTGCATGTTTTCTACTCTCATACATTCCTTCTTTGTAGATATGAGAACAATATGTTTTTTATATGTTCTTACAATATGAAACAGTTCAATACCAGTTGTGTATATTTTTAGTTATTCGCAAATAAAATTTTGAATCCATTGTTACTTTTATTTCAGCCAAATATTTTATACATATAAATTAAAAGGGCTTTACGAAGAAGACTATAGCCAAGTTCCATTACAACCATTACAGCCAATTCGGCACTACAGTCTATAGCGTTATAGGTTTTTTGATCGCCACTTCAAAAGGAAAGGCCGAATTGTAATTAAATGTATATAAAAATGGGCCATAAATTGTTGCAATCATTGTATCAAAATTTAATAGCAATGGATAAAGATCGTTAGGAGATTAGTGGAACAAACATTTACAATATCTAATTATTTATACACACTATAACTAATTTTTTTATATATATAGATAGATAACACTGTGAAGCTACTATTAAAAAAAGAAAAGAAAATCAGCTGACAAACAGAGCAGAAAAGTGTAGTGAACTGTTTTGTCTTTACCTATTTATATAAGGAAAAATAATTGCAATTTTGAATGAAATAACATAATGACATAAAGCTACCTGATACTTCCTGAGGAGCGAGAGTACTACTTTCGGCCACAGCCATTGGAATAGCCTCTTCAAGAGAGATGGCAGGTGCGTTGCTGATGATTTTAAGCTCTTCAATAACCTGTATTCGGAGAACAGAACATAATTAGAAACACGACCACAATCATAAAATAATTAAATACTAAAAACTTTTTTATGAAAAGTATTAACAAATTAAAACAATTTGTTGTAAAAAAAAATATATTCAAACCACAGATAAAAGACCTTTAGTATATTGTGTAATTGTAAACCAATATACAATAAACGACTCTTTGAATAGTGTTTCTATCTGGTTAAATGGATTTATTTCATTAATAAAAAAAAAAATCATAATTAATTTATCTGTCTAGTATGTAAATAGATAAATAGAAAATGTGGTTAAAAAAATAATTATTATGAACTATAATAAGGCTGTGATGTTTTGTTATTTTTTAATGTTTTTTTTCTCTTGAAAATAGTCCGAAACGTTAGTGAAACAACAAATAAAGTAAGACAAATGAATAATTGTGAAGTTTAACAGTTTTAAAATTAACATTGAATAATCTTTTTCAAGAAATACAATATAAAGAATAAAAACATTAGGATTACTCACCGGTTTGGGAGTATAATGGAAATTGGATAAAGTATCTAATTTCTTAAAAACAGATTTCATCATTTTTATAATTTCCTCTTTCTGCTGAGTTATTTCTTTGCTTTCGACTGGTTCTTGATCGTTGTTAACTTCTTGTTTGCTCAAAAATTCCTATAAAAAATAATTATTTTCTGTAAAACCCACTCCTTTGGAATGAAATAAGCATTGTACGAAATATGTGAATCCTAATTCCATATGATGTAATAAGGACATTCCAAAATTATTTGACTTGATTAAATGTAAATAATTTTTAAACTTTTCCTGTTGTAATCCCTAAAGGTGAGTTTACAACAGAGATAAATTTGTTAATAATAATAGTCATTAACATTACTATGAAGAATGTCGATAATGTTTTATTTCAGTTAAATAAATTCCATAAACATGTTATTGACATTTTTTTTAGGGCATTGCTAACAGTGATGTTAATGTTATAAGAAATAAAGATATTACTAGAATGAAAAATACACAGATATTTTTTCTTTTTTGATCATACCACTAAATAAGTTATTTTCCAATCAGTTTTACGATCAATAGTAACTGCATTATTATTATTATTATTTTAATATATGTCAGTAACCTATTTTGGATTTGTCATATTTTCTCCCAAGAATTTCCATTATATTTACTTCTCACTTCATCTTTAATCAACCAAAAAAAACTATTTAAGTGTTTTATCAATCCACTATCAATTATCTGCTAAATCTTATTAAAAATAAATTATTAAAACAAACTTTTTTTATTTATCTCTATGAAAATAATTTTTTTAATTGGAAAACATTTGAGGCGTCCACATGAAAAAGGTAATAAGTCATGAAAAGGTTATTTTACAGGAGAGGCAAAAAAACGTTTTAACACTTCTTTTTTTTAACTTTAATCTTTTAGATTACTATTTAGTTGTTATTTTGCTTCTGTTTATTTTACATTTTGTGAGCATACAAAGGATGTATTGTTACCTCTCTATAATTATTGTCCAAGTGACAGAATATTATATTACTCAATAAATAAATAAAAATAAAGAAAGTCGCTCATATAAACTAAACCACTCCCATTTTTTATTTACTCCTTTCTATACCATGGGCATGACTAGACTAATTAGGGTGAACGCACCAATTATGGACGGAGGGCCCAGTTATGGACAGGTTGAAATTTAAATATAAATAATAAGCTTCCTTGTTTATTTAAAGGTTCCTGTTTTTCCTAGATTGAAGAACAATACCCTCTATTGACAACTGTATGAACACAGTTCCAAAAAGAAAATTTTAAAATGTCTATTTTGCTGTTTCTACAGTGCTCTTGAGATCAGTGTGTTTCAAACCTTCCTTGTAACAGTTTTGCTAAGAGTAAGTTAAACATTTATGTTATATTATCTTTATGGTTAAATAAAGATTTTATAATTTTTCTAAGGCATGTCCATTACTGGTACCGACCCCATGTCCGTTACTAGAACAATTGAATTTTGGTGGGTGCATCACTAGTGCAAAAAGGTGGTTTTTTTTTAAAATGGAGATTATAAGTGCATAACTGAATATTTTTTCAATTTTAAAGTGTTAAATAGAAAAAGGAGACCCTAGAAATTTTAAATATCCAACAGAGAAGTTTATAACTATAATAATTGAGGCAGCATAAGCCAAAAAAATAAAAATTTCCTTAGCTGTGTCCATCACTGCTGCGGTTACGCTACTACCTAATGATATTTTTTTACTCACTACCTTTTCCATGTCAACACTTCATTAATAATTTATTTGTTAAATAAAATGAATTCATTTCCATGTCAACACTTCATTAATAATTTATTTGTTAAATAAAATGAATTCAATCATTTTAAATTTGTGTTTTACTTTCACAGGTGAGAAAGTCAAGTTATAGAACCCTCGAACAAGGCAGTTCGAGAGTTAAAGGGATAGGATGAGCTTAAGGTTTATTACAAATACAAATCTACAACTAAAAACGGAGGGAGATTTAATGATATATAAAAAGTAATATTGATACCTGTTCATAAACTTGAGCAAGGGAAAGTTTACTTTTTTCTTGATTCAGAACAAGTTCCTTCTTGAGCTCGTGTTGAACGTGGACTGGCTTAATTTTCCTTTCAACATCATCGAACGCTCTGTCTTTAATCCTCTTAATAATTATAGATTCGAGATCAAGTGTAACCTTTTCAGTCATAACAGGCGCTAAAAAAAATATAAATATATATAGCAAAAACTGAATCTGAGCTATGTATTTTGTATGAATCTGGCAATTCATGGTCGACCTAAAAAACCACTTTTCCTTTTTTATAATAATGAGTATAATCAAAATCGTTGAGCCATTTTTGAGAAAATCGTAAAATCTATGATATTTATGATAAGTACCACTTCCGGTTAGCCGATTTTTAGGAAAATGTTTCTGTAATATCCCGGCCATATACTTATCTAGAATACCTAATACTAGTTTCATTTTTTTGAGCTAGGCTGCAAACACAGACAATTTTTCAGTTTTTATTATTGGTTACTTCGACACAGAGGACCTCAAAACTTGTATTTCCGTTGAAAACTCAGAATCGAAAGTTATCACGATCTCAATTACATATATAGGTAAGTCAAAATAAAAATAAATGTCAATCGCCATTTATGTTTTGTACAGTTATTTTTTATTTTTTAATTTTAATTTTAATTTTTTTTCTTTTCTTTCCATTATTTATTCTAATTCTAAGTGTAATATGTCATAGTCCATCATATAGGACGGTGCTGAGACTGTCAGTGTGTCCCTGGCCTGATCGAAGCTCTATTTTTTAAAAGTAGGTTAAACATTTTTAAATAATTGTTATTAAAGACATATGGAAGTAATATTGTGTACCGATTGAGCTATTTGTAGTTCTAGCTTTGAAGAGGATCCCATGGTTGACTAATAAAAAGAAAATACCGGGATCGAAACGTCAATAAACAGAAGAAATGAACATTCAATAGTTTATTAAATAATAATTAAATGACCTTATTCCCAATAAATAGTTAAGTTTAAACATATATATATATATATATATATATATATATATATATATATATATATATATATATATATATATATATATATATATATATATTATAATGTATTTTTAACAGTTTTGTATTTCACTTTGTCCCATATCTTAAAGCTTGCTTTGTCATCTATATTGTCTTTTACTTTACTCAAGTAATGCTCATTTTGTTTACTACTTGCCATGTTTCATCTCTTACAATAGATCTGTAACTTATATCTGAAACCGGAACTGATTTAATATAACTGATAACCTTATACCAATTAATATTTATTTTTTATATATTTTGTTCTTTCAGCCCTGATAAAGATTTACGACATAGGTCGAAACATTGGCAAATAAAATAAAAACTACTGTATTAAGTAGTAGTAGGTCTATTGACTGTACTCCCAACCAACTGCTCCCTAAATTAGAATTTAGAACAATCAACTTCATGCCATTATATATTTTTTTAATGAGTAAGATCCTTTAAAAGTAAAGCGATAAATGTAGTTTTAACATATAAATGTAATTTTGAAATAAATAACAGATGAATAGACTACCTGGCCTAGTTGATAAATCAACATCAACAATTTCCTCTAGAAGAGAATTTTCAGGGCGCCCTTGGGAGTCGACTTCTCCTTTCTGTGGCCAGGGCTTTTCGCTCAATGCTTTATCTTCAAGTTTAGCTATATGTTCCTTAAGTCTCGAGTTCTTTTTTTCAAAAGAAGATTTTTGTTTTGTTTCATCTTCATCACTATCCGTTTCATCTTCATCTGACATGAATCTAAAACAAGAGCAATCAAAGTAATATGAAGCTAAAATTCATTGGGCTAAAGCTCGACTTTACTCAAACAAAAATTAAAAATTTAAAGGTAAATCATTTCTTAACAAAATAATTTTATTTTGAAAACTATTATTAGTAACAAAACCTATTCTAGCCAGTATCTGAAGGTTCGTCCATAACGGCCCACCAATCCTCACAAAGCTTAGCACCAATCTTAATCCCTCAACCCTTACCCCATGTCTGGCCATATTGGCCCACCACGATGAGCTATGCAAAAACAATGTGGCAGATTATCCAACATGCTGAACCAAAGGATGGTGGATTAGAGTAAGTTTACCAAGTTGTAAAATAAATATGTTAAAAGTACCAACTTATATTAATGATTTTTAAAATTAAAAATAATAAAATATGATTTTACCTAACTTTCTTTGAGTCCTCAGCTTTATCTGAATTTTCAGGTTTTCTCTTCAATCTTTTTCTAAAATGATTACCTTCACCCTCAACTTCATCATTCTCATCAGAAAGATCTGAATCATCATTCTTTTTTTTATTCCTAAGAGTTTTTTTGCTTGAAGGGTCTTCAAAAAAATCATTATACATAGGTTGATCAGAATCCTACAAATTAAAAAGAAGTAATAATTGAAATAGATGAGGATACTGCCAATTACGGATTTTATAGTTATTCAGAAAATAAGAATATAAAAAATAATTTATATTAAATAATTATGGTGTTACAGTCGAATGTCCTCCAAACTCGAACAAGACATTTTGATGTTGACAAGCTCTGTTGCGAGGGACAAAATGAACTAACCAGGAGCCAGTATGTGTAGTAGAAGACACTTAATCACCATGGGAAGTAATTTAATTTAATTTTAATTTAAACGTTCTAGTTTCTCAAGTATTGACAATTTATATTTAACACATGATCAAGAACTTCCATCTGATATGAAACAAAATTGTGAATACTTAGAATATAATAAAAGATATTCTCCCAGTTCTGATTTTCATCTAAAATTGTTTAAAAATATTCATGGGATGATCTCAGTGAATAATTTGAGCCATTAAACTTTATAATCGGTCCACTTTTTGGCTCAAAAAATTATTACATAACTTTTTATAGACAGAATAAACATAGGGGGCGGGGTGGCCGAATAGGTTAAAGCGTGTGCACAGCACCGCGAGTTGCCTGGCAACCGGAGAACAAGATTTGAGATTATTAAGGTGAGAGGATTTAAAAAGTACGAGTTCGCGTCCCGGTGCCGGAGGGGGATTTTAAATTCCCCGCCCTCACCCTCCGGCCCGGGAAAATCCCGTATAGCTTAAAAGGCGAGGTAGGGAAGAACAAAAAAAAAAATAATAATAAAAAAAAACAGAATAAACATGTTTAACAGAATAATTTTAGAGTATCTTTAGCTAAAATTGTTTCAAACACTCAAGAGACCTAGAAAACTGGTCTAGGCGTTCAGTCAAAAAATCATTATATATCTCTGAGCGGTCAACATAAACCAGTAGTCAGAGAAAAATTTTAATTTCATAAATTAATATCTCTAAACTGAGACTCATTCATGCGGTTTATCACAACCCTTATTAAATAATTAATTAGAAGTGTTAGACTTGGAGACACCCGGGACTGCTGTACAAACTCCGAAAATTCCTACCACCTACATACTTCCTCATTATCCGTTCCTACCTTACTGATAGATACTTTAAAGTAAATCACAATAACGCCTATTCATCCCTTTTTTCCCAGTCTGCTGGTGTTCCTCAAGGTAGTATCCTAGGTCCTATCCTCTATACAGTTTATACAGCTGACATCCCTACCTGTCCCAACACTGTCATCACCACATATGCCGATGACACATGTATCCTATCAGTAAACAATGACCCAGCAATTGCATCCCAAATGCTTCAATCACACATCATAAATCTAGAAGAATGGTGTAAAAACTGGAGAATTAAAATAAACTCCAATAAATCCCACCAAATTACCTTTACCCTTCGTCGTAAACCAACGACTTCCTCTCCTACAGTTTCCTTTAACAATACTCCACTTATCCCTGTTGAGCAAATCCGATACCTAGGACTCCACCTGGACAAACGACTAACTTGGAATCCTCATACTAGACTGAAACGACAAGAAACCGCTCGACGTTTCCGATTACTTCAGCACTTACTAGACAAACGCTCTAAACTTCCCATTAATTACAAAAGACTTATATATTTGACTAAAATAAGACCTATTTGGACTTACGGAGTGGAGCTATGGGGCTCCACTAAACCATCGAATTCCTCTCGCATCCAATCCTTACAATCCAAAATCCTTCGTAAAATCCTCAATGCTCCTTACTTTGTCACTAATAAAATTATCCATAAAGATCTTAATGTTCCTTATGTTTCAGATCTGGCCCAATCCAGATACCTATCCTTCCATAATAAACTTCAGAATCATCCCAACCCTCTCGTTTCTAACCTTGCTTCCTCTTCAATTCCTGATAACCCTCCGAGGTGTCTGAAAAGAAGATGGCCCCGTGATCTCCTAATGTAGTCATATCATTAGAGTGCTACCATTGGGTAGTTACTCAGCAAGTGTATTCATGTCATTATATCAATTATGTCCAATTTACTTAATGTATTTATGTAATACAGTTGTAAATGTCATAAAGAAATAAAAAAAAAAAAAAAAAGACTTGGAGACAATATAAATGTGTGGAACTATTTCTGTACCACTATTACTTAATTTCTTTAAATAAAAAATAATTATAATTAATAAGACAACTTACCTCCTCCTCATCAGATAACATATCAGTGAAGTAATCAATTCCATCGTTACCTCCCTCCTCATTTTCGGCTTTTTCTAGAAAACTTTCCATTTCATTCAAATCAAAGAACATATCCCCAGTTTTAGAAGAAGCTTTCCTCTCGACTTTGACTTCAGGTGCTTCGTCTGCCTGGTCTGAAGTGTATTCTTCATCTTCATCATTCATATCTTCAATATTGGCTGCTTTATCTAGAAAATACAACCATATTTAAAATAAATACTAAACTGCTAAAATCAACTCACATAATTTCTTAATTGCACTATCCTGAAATTATTATATGCCACATCAATAAATAACTTTCCAAGAAATATGACTATAATTATAGTTATTCTTATTATATATTTTATTTTTAAAAAACTAAACAGCATAGAATGCAATTATAGGCTGCTCTGGTAATTTCTGTTAGCGGTAAGGATAGACAGGCACAATTAAATGATAATTGAGATATCCTTTATATCTTATTAATCCCAGTCCATTACACCATAAAATTTGAATAGATTCTAATGATTACTAGCACTATCGGATGGCTTTGATCTTCAAATTAATTCACCCAAGTTTAATAACATTACAGCACTAAAACATAAATTTTACCTGGAATTTCTTCATCATCGACATTATCTTCTGATTCATCTGAAGAAGTTTCGTCATTTTCAACAGTTATTGTATCATCTTTAGAATTGTCAACTTGTGAAGACTCAACTAAATCAGCTTTCTTGATATATGGAAACTTAACTTCTGATTTGTTTAATAACAACTTTGTAATCCCTGGAATATATGTTTTAACTGTTTTGTTTCTCAGTTCTATTTGCTGCCAAATTTGCTCTGATTCGAAATCTTGAATGAAAATTTCTTTAAGCAATGCATTTCTTCGACGATTAGTCCTATCAGATCTACAAACCATCAACTTGAAAACATCTGCTAACAGCTCCTGCGTATTACTGCTCTTCAAAGCACTTTTTCTAAAATACAATTGAGAATTAGAGTAGAGTAAGAACAAATTCATAAACGTGTTAATTATTAAGTTAAGTTAAATAATCAAGCTAAAATAAAAATAAAACACTACAATTTTGAATAATAATTTTTAGTATTACGGTTCACAAGAGAGTTTTTTTTACTATTAAGGCTTACAAGCTACCGATATATATTTGTTTTTTCAACAAAGAAATAGCCTGAGAAAAAAAAAATCAAATTCATATTAAATGCTCATTTAAAGAATACCTGATGTAATTTAAAGGTTTTGATTTCGGTTCCTCGAATTTAGCAAGAACAGAATTTATAGTATCCATTTTGAAAAATGAAATGAATTCCTACTTTTTGCTATCTTCAATCATAAAAATCTATTAAAACATTAAACCACCATTCACATAACTAAATTTAAACGTGCTTGCGGTAAGGTAACAGCATTGCTATAATACAAAGAGATTAGAAGCTAATAATCCATCACATCCAAGTAACTTAGAAAGGACAGGTCCAGTGATTATTTAAACCTTCCTTTTTTGTTCGTTAAATAAATATTAATCTTTTCTATTTTTTGTTTTAAATTACTTTGATAAACTACGGCTTATTTTAATATGTTCGCAACATCTTATGAAATTGAATCTAGATTTGTTTCTAAATTCTTAGACTCTTCTACTTATGAAAAGAGTTAATTCTATTCACTAGTCTGCCAAATAAGTCATACATATGGTCCTTTCATTCAATTCAAGACTGCTCCTTAGCTATCAAAAACTTCAAAGTTTGTTAACAATAAGATAAAGCATTTTTTCAACAGCATCTCAAACTACTACACTCAGGAAGTTTCAAGCTTCTTGAAGCTGTAGTTATGGCGAAAATTTAGGGAATATTATAACGACCGTCGAGTTGTAGGGTTCGCTTTAATCATAACTTTAATATTCTTGAAAAATACTGCATAGCTTTTTATGTTGTAAAAATAAAACAAATAAAATCAATTTTTTCGCTTGTAGGGATTCAGTTCTATAAGTCCCACGAATCAATCCATTCTTCGAACGGTGAGAGGTTTTGGTTTCATGAGATAATATAATTTAAAATAAGGCGATCCTCCAACGTCTAATCCCGTTTGTTAGTTGATGCCGTCATAGTTCTAAGGCAGTCCAAGCTGAATGAATTATCCAGAGCTTAATTTGATTACTCCTATTATCCTATTGATTATGAACCTCCTATCATACTTTCAACAGAGTGTTAAATTTCGGTTTTAACCTATAACCTTCGCTATATCGTCCTACCATAATGGCTTAAACTTCAGATTCTTCGTTGAACCAGGCTCCAGTGTTGGATTTTTTCAGCCAGAACAACTCTCTTTCTTTGAAGCTTTCCGCTAACAATTGAAAACAAGCAATCATATTCTTGGGCAACACAATTCCGTTTTAACGTATATTCGTTTTCGAAGGCGGTTTTCATCTGTTGGCTAGCCAATCCTAATGATATATTTTTTGGATGACATATAAGTTGCCAGAGGAACATAAGACGTATAAGTTATATTTCTCTCCAAGAACATGAGAACGCGAGGCTACCAGAAGCTTTTGAAAAAAGAAAAATTCGTTAAATCCCATTAATTTTACTCTAAAGTCTGCCATCTCAACCCAAAATGAAGGCATAGGTGTCAGAAATGCGTTAGATATGAGGCTTATATTGGATCATGAATAGGTGTAAAGGGCTGCGCAGGGAGAAGTTTGTCTTCTTATCTTATCCTCCTAAGGAATCTTCCCCTTCAAACATCCTTATGCATTTGATCGTGAATAAGGAGAGATATAATCCTACAAAATAATTCAGCAAATCCCACTTATTTGTTATTCTCTCATGTCACTCAATGACGAACGTCAGTTCACTCTACAATTGCTAGTTCAGACAGTATTTGATATTTTTATTTCATTGGAGCATTCTTTCTTCCATTAGCTCAACATACCATTACTGGTTCTAGCCTCCCACTAGCGGATCCAGGATTTAATTTTGGTGGGGGCTTCAGCCCGAAACCTTTTTTTTTTCTTAAAAATAACGATAATTACTTTGGAAAAACAGACAGAAACTAACTACCTATATGAAATGGTGTTTAAGTTATTCCTTAAGTACTTTTAAATGTAATTACACAAAAAATAATACTTTAAGAGGTATTTTTTAAAAAAAATTTCACATAAAACATGGTTATATTTTTCCAATTTGGGGAGGGGGGCTTCAGTCCGAAAGCCTCCCCCAAAAAAAAAAAAAAAATTTTGACTAGAGCCGGCCGTAGACAATTGACAGCGCAGTTACATCATGAGCGTCCTCAACTCTCTACTCCCCCCCTCCCCCCACCAAAAAAAAAATATCAGTTTAAAATTAATTTCTTAAGCTGTGGTATTATAATAATTTTTAATTGAATTGCATTTCATTCACTATGTTTTGAATACAGTTGCTTTATTAATAGATTAAAATTAGTTTTACTTACACAGTTTGTAATTTTTTGATAATTCCTAACAAGTGTGGGTGCTCTTTCCTGTCAGCCCCATTGGCAAAGCTTTAATAGAAACATTTAGGAAAGTAGATCTATGTGATATAAAATCTAATCTTCTGAATTATTATTAAAAACTAGCCTGAGATGGGGGATTGACTCAAACTATCCTATGATTCAAAATTTATACACCAACATGACCTCACTTATATTTAACCAGAATTTGCACTACAACCTATGGACGCTCTTGGATTCAGTACTTTATAAAGGAGTTTCTTGAAGAATGGTTGTGGAAGTAGGCGATTTGATGAGACCATCACTCAGAGGCTGGCAGTCCTATCCCATAGTTCATCCATGGTTGATGTAAAAGAATAAATAATTACCTTCCATTACAGGATTAGAACCTGAGACTTGCAGGAAAATAGCACAGTGCCTTATTCACTGAGATATCCTTCTCTCTGTTCAATGTAATCTTTTTTTATTATTGTACATAATGATCTGACTTTAATTGACAATGTTTACTACTTGATCATGACCATAAGTGTATGAGATAACGTAATATATCAAACAGTTAATTAATAATGTTATTTTGTCTCACTTTAAAGAAATTAAAAAAAAAATCTTTTAAAGAAAACTTAAGATTAAGAACAATTTTTTTATTTCCTCGTTATTAAGGGTGCAGAATTTGTATTAATATAGGAAATTAATAAAAAAAATCCAATGCCCTCTTCTTTTTTAGACATCAAGGAACAAATTTTTTTCTGTGTTTCAGTTAAACTCCTTGCAATAAAATCTATGAGTTTAGGAACTTACCTAAGGCTTCTGCAGATTACAAGAAAGTTCGAGTAACATAAGATGTTGAAATAAAGCACTTGCAATACAGCATCAAAACTTAATACTTTACAAACTGGGTGCATAAATATGTGTGTATATATATATATATATATATATATATATATATAATATATATATATATATATATATATATATATATATATATATATATATATGTATATATATATATATATATATATATATATATATATATATATATATATGTATATATATATATATATATATATATATATATATATATATATATATATATATATACACACATATATTAGTGAGAAAAGGCTTTTTCATTGTCGATAAATAATTGCTTGATTTCAAATTTAGCTAAATTTTCGCCTTTTCAGGTATCATCTGATTTTAGATGTAATTTAAAATTTTTATTCGCTTAAGCAGTGCACACATGGTCAAAGAACACAACCGAATCCTCCCAAGATCATCTTTTATATATTTTTTTTTAGTTGGCTCTACAGACCTTGTAGATCTTTGGTCACTTGAACCAGCCTTCTCCACCTCTGCCTGTCTTGGGCTACTGCTTTCCAGTTTGCGGTATGAAGCTCAGCCGTATCTTTGTTCATCCTATCTATCCATCTGGTTTTTGACCTCTCATGTGGTCTCTTGCCTACTACTCTGGCATTTATTGTTGCTTAAGTCCTGATGGATAGCTACGAGCTACATGACCTCTCCATCTCCTTGCCTTCATATCATGAGCTATTGACTGACCCGTTTCTTTCAGCATATATATATATATATATATATATATATATATATATATAAAACTCCCGTTTCTTTATTATATATATATAATTTTTTTTTCAAAGAAAGCAGATACTATTAATTGTTTTAACTTTTTTAGAAGTATTTTCTCACTACTTCTTTTCTTTTAGACATGACAAATTGTTACCTGTTGCCAATCAAAGAATAATAAATGAAATGAGACATATTATTTGCATATAATATAAGAAAATTCATTGGAAATTTGTTCTAAACAAAACTTTTCATACACCACCACCCCTTTTCTCAATTTTTTATTTTTTTGAGAGGGTGAGGATTTTGGACTGCTGGACTATTTGGAATTGCAAAGTTTAGATTAGTGAGATTGAATTCTTATGAGGAAGTAAACAGTAGGATTAGGTATTCGAGGATCTTAAATGGTAGATAACTTAAAGGAGAAACAATTGATGAGGGTAATAGAAAAAAACAACACAAAAGCACATTTTGTGGAACTGTATTAACAGAAGATTAAACTTTGGTACAAATAGCATTATATAACAGACTGAAAAACTACAATGTAGGTTTTTACCAAGCCAAATGAAACAGTGCCACGTGAGCTTAGGTAAAGGATTTATAATATATCATATACACATATTCGTATTATTATAAATAATTAATTTCATAAAATTAGCAGAGTAGTGGCACCTTTAATGAAAGAAGATAAGTTTCGACTGAATGTTATACACAGAAAATATTCATATTATAATAAAATCATTCTAAATAATCAGTCATTATTACAAACATTAAAAACCACACAAATATAAGAAGACTGACATTTTGACATTCAAACTTTCACAATAACCGCCTCCATTTATGGAGGCAATTTACCCAGTCTTCGACAGCACTAAAGCTCTTAAAGTCATTCTCTTCCCAAAGCATTAGTGCAACAAAAAGTAATAAAAAAAATTGCGAGTCGAAACACGATTGCGATTCGACCGCAATAAAATTAATGCGATTCTGGAGCAATGTATTTAAAATTACTTAAAACATCAATAGAATTTTTTTCCCTTTTCGCATTTTTCCTTTTTTTTTTTTCTTTTTTTTCTAATTATTTTTTCAATACCCTCCTCATTTCGATCCTTCCATTCAATATCACTTATCAATTAAAAACTGATTTATACAACTGAAAAGCAGATATCAAACATATTTACAAAAGCATAATTACCAATAAACATTTTCTCCAAGCAACACAAACAGTTAACATGTATCAATAAAAATAAAGAAAGCTCCTACATCACAATGTATATATTTATATAACTAATTCTATTCTATGAAATCTGTTCGATGATTTCAACGATTCTTACGTCAAAGATCTTAAATGCTAAAGTTTTAAATGGTAAAATATTATATTTATAAAGATTATATTACATATATAACTAG